ATCCAACTGGTTTTGTGCCCAAGGCAGGACTAAAACTCACACTCTCCCAGTTCCTAGAGTGATGGCATAACCACCAACAAAATTACGATTATTCATACTGTCAGAGGGGGGAGATATTACACTCAAGCATTCTTCATCATGCCCAAATACACATTTAATTGAGAGATCCTGCCAACTCCCATCAGCAGCCATGAAATTATGAAAGGAAGCAGCAGCAGCCTTTCCACGTAATTACACCCAATGCTTTCATTACTACATGTGGAACTAGTAACCAAGAGATACACTTATTTTTTTCTTCTGACTTTTCCCCCCTTCTGTATTGTTCCTTTCCTATCATAAGCTGCAGGCAACAACTTTTGGATTTCTCATCATGGTACGAAATACTGGGAAGCTTTTTTTAATTGAACTGTGGTACCATTAGTAATATCTAAACAGAACAACAAATATCCCCATGCAAGTGGACTAAAAATCAACAAGGCTGGACAAATGAAACAAGTGGGAAAGGGATGTTCTTTCCTTTGTCCAACCTTTACTCACCTAAAGATATTGCAGTAGCCCACAAGATTTTCTTTCAGATATATGGTACATATACTTGTTTACTGAGACAGAGATAGACAAATCCTTTTTTGCTTAAATCTAGCCAAGGCCCTATGTCCAATTACTTTTCACAGAAACTAGCATTATTTGAACTGTGCAAACTGATGAAAACAGATCTAAATAAAAGTGCATAAGGTTCTGTTACATTATTCTTAGATTACTGTATACAAAAAGATGCAATTTGTTTTCTTGCCTAAGTCGAATTAGCTACAGTTATTTGATACTGGCTCTACCAGTTTCAGTTTAAACCTTTTCAAAATTCAAATCCAGTTTGATCTGTTTGTCATATATCCATAGCAAAAAATCAAACAAAACAAATCCATGGACACAATCTCGGCAAGCTCCCCTTTGTCACTTTCTAAATGCCACACCTTTCCTGCATCATTATTTCAACCACCTTACAATTTTACAGACATTTCCTAATTCTAAACTGAAAACCACTGGAAAATGTTTTTTCCCTGCACACAAGTGTCCTATAACTGTAAAATGTTCAGATGTTACTCAATTTCTGAAAATATGATACTAGTAGAAGATGCCCTCTCTAGCAAGAACTATAACATGCAGGAGATTCAACCCAGAAGAGATACTTTACAAGTGCTGCTGTTGCCAGAAGTCAGTCAACCTCAAATTTAGTAAGAAGCTAAAAATATTCAGCTTGGCACCTATAGGAAGCTAGGCAATCAAAAAGAGGGTGTGTACAATACTTCACATTTTTTAGCTACAAATGGCTAACTTAAAACACAAATGAAGCCAGCTTTACTAACTATTCTGGAATTGCAAGTCTGGCATTATTACTTTCTTTCAAGGCATAGCAAACATGAAAAGTAATTACAGGTAATCCTCGACTTACAACAGTTCATTTAGTGACTGTTTGAAATTACAACAGCACTGAAAAAAGTGTTTTATGACCATTTTTCACAGTTATGACCTATGCACCACCCCTATGATCATATGCTCAAAATTCAGATGCTTGGCCTCTGGTTCATATTTATGACCATTGCAGCATGAGTCATATTACCCCGTTTGTGATCTTCTGACAAGCAAAGTCAATAGGGAAAACAGATTCACTCAACAACCAAGTTACTAACTTATCAACTGCAGTGATTCACTTAACAACTTTGGCAAGAAAAATCATAAACTGGGTTAAAACTCACTTAACAAATGTTTCACTTAAACACTGAAATTTTGGGCTCAATTGTGGCCATAAGTCAAGGACCTATTCTATATGCATATGAGATATCTGCAGTTCTATTAAAAATGCACAGTGTCTTTGCATGCCACCCAACAAGTTTCAAGGGAACTCAGAACCAAGTATTCTTACTCCCATGAAACTTAATTACACACATCACTTAGAAACTCTTGCAAGTGGTCCACAGATTTGTTTCAGGATTTCTGGACTGATGCAGGGATGCAGGACTGCAGGACTAGAAAATAATCAAATCTCTGACATTGAGCAAACAAATTCTTGCCCTGCTCCCTTTTTTCAATGCAAAGAAAGCAAATCCAGTGGCAGAAAAGGAGATGAAACACAGCAAAGAGCTCTTCTTGGTTTTACCCACTTTAAACATTCCCCAGATTTATTACTAATCCATGGTCTGTAAAAAAATATAGTTCTCCAGCTAAAGTGGTTCACTAGTGCTGTTCTTATACATTTTGTAGTTATCTTATATGATTGACATTCCTTTATGTTACTTAAGTTTTTCTGGCTTAGCCCCTAGCCTTAGGTTATTCTGATTTTGAACTGACCCTTTAGATTTGACATCCTTCTCTCCAACCAAGATGACTATGATTGCACTCACTAGCTGTCTGTTAATTAAAACTGATGTGTATTAGGTGAGATCCAAACAATGCTTATCCCTCAAACCAGAACAAGGCACAGATTTTTTAAGAGAAAAGTGAAGATAGGTCAGTTTCATTGGGAAATCTTTATTGGCCAACCGGGAATAGAGGTCAAAGACTCTCAGTGTATCTTATTAGGCAATTTACCTCTGAACCCAACTGCAACTGAAAAGATAATATCAACTGAAAAGATATCATATTGTCAGAGGAGCATTGGGGGGGGGGGATGATAAATCAAACAGCAAGGATTCTATTACCAAAATGGGTTTAATCTATGTTTTGCACAGTACATATACAATTTGGTTCTGAACTTTAAAAAACAACAACCTCAATATCCAGCACTTAAAGCAGTGGCAAAAATATTTTTCCCAATTTTAAGTCAACAAATGTAATGTTGAGGCAATTGCTTTGAATTGAAAAAACTAAAAATATGAACTTTTATGTAATGTTGTTTGAAATCTTGCAAGTTTTATAAATCTGGAATCTACAAACTGTTCTCCACTAAGCTAAAGTAGACTGAAAAAGTGAACATTACTGGATTAATAAATAGTTGTGTGAATACTGCAAAAATTAAATGATTGCAAGTACACAGTAGTATTGAACACACAAAACAGTAGAACTAAATCTCTCTATTTGCAAAATATTATCCAACCTAAACAGCAGCAAGTCAATCTTCTGGGGGGAAATTACCAATGATACGCTCTAACAAGTTAATTCAATGATATGCAAGAATATTTTGACCCCTATTTTTAATACCAAACTTTGGAAAATATACCTGCATAAAAATTGAGAACCTCTTTTATTGCTGAGAGTAAACCTAAAAGCTTCACCAAGCAATATCTAACAATGTTGAAGATTGTCAGCAAATGTCCAACTTCAGCTTCTTTCAAGACACAAAGTACTTATTGTTAAGTGATAAACATTTTTGGAGCAGGAACATCTATTTAGCCATAATAAAATACATGCTTTGATATGTTCTGCACAAATGCACTTCATATGAAAAGAATCTTTTTTACTATTTGCAACAGGACTAGTTCCATAAGAAACCTCTACTCAGCATTTGGCCCCAAATGTTACCACACCAAAACTCTACTGAAATTCTGCTAGTAAGCAATAACATACTCATGCTTTAGAGACACCTACAGGCATGGTTGAATTTAGTCTTCCTCCAGATATCTAACTTTTCTAAATATTTCCTTTCCTTAATTTCTAAAAACTACCCACTCAGTTCATTCAGGAGGGTCGGCAGACATCAGATAAAAAATTATCACAAGCTCTTGATTATTGAAGCCTACACAGTATACCGCCAAAGTTAAAATAGTTCAGGTTCACACCCACATCAGTGAATGCAGCCTCACCCCATTCTTTCAATTCTCTGCTTCAGTCCATTCAACAGCCACAAGCACATTCAGGTACTAAGCATACACTAATCAATTTATCAACACTGATTAGCAACCTACCCTGGAGACAACATTTAACAGGCTAGACAAATAATGGAAAGATCCTAATTCAATGTTCTGAGCTTTCATGGAGCTTTTCCATTTAATTCAGTTGTAAAGTGTTGAAGCTCCCTAAAAATTCACTCACAAGATATAAACAGGAAATGATTGGCAATTACAATAAGTTTCACAGATCTGCCATTATCAAATGAGTTTGATAATGGGTTTCTCATTAAAATCAATTTTTGTTAGTAAATTAGTAACTACTACTACTAGTAATATTAACACTGCTTAACTAAACCTAGTTGGTATGTTACAGTATTTTGCTCTGTCACTCTTGTTAAATAATTCCCCCAACATTGTCAAACTATTCAATAAGGCTGCATTACTTAGTCTTCTCATCATTCCTATCACCCATCTCCTCCCACTTATGACTGCATGACTGTAACTTGTTGCTTTTATCCTTACAATTTATATTGATATTGTTTCCTGGTTGCTTATTTGTACCTTATGACTACCATTAAGTGTTGTATCTTATGATTCTTGATGAACATATCTTGTCTTTTTATGTACACAGAGCATATGCACCAAAGACACTTGACCAATAAAGAATTCTATTCTATTCTATTTGTAATACTAAGCTTTTTCATCTCCTTACTTTTTGTCTCCCTTCTCCCTTTTATTTCCTTTCTTGTTAATTAAAAACAACATTCATCATTCTGATCTGAAGAAAACTGGTCCAGAAAAACAATCAATACTCTTTGCATCTCTTTGGCTGTGATTAACAGCTCTGTAACACAGGCCAACATTATTAACAAGGGAGACTTTAGAGAGAGAAATTAATATTGGGAATGAATTATTTCTGCGATTCTTGAATTAGTAAATAAGTTTTCGATCACGGAGGGGTTTTAGGCAAAGTCTCAGGGCTGAAGAAACACCCCCTCCAAAACTTGAAGGACAAGTGAATTTGAATCAGAATCGTTTTGGAGAAAGGATGAGCAACTCTACAAACACTCAGCAGCTCTCCTAACTTTCGCACAATCACGGCTCCCAACGGAGCAAATCCCAAACAGTTCCTGGTGGCTTCCGCCTCAACCCCCACCCGTATTCTCCCGCTTGCTTGACCTGGAGGAGATGGCAGAGGAGCACCGGACACGCTCGCTGAGGTCACAGAGTGCCTGATATTGGAGGTCGCGGCCCTTCTCACGCTCCAGGTGGCAGGCGTAGAGCGAAAGAATAATCCCGGCCAGACACACGATGTAGCGGGCCACCCGCTCCCAGCGCGGCACCGAGACTCGCAGCAGAACGGGCGCCGCCATCTTAGCCCAGCCCTCGCTTAGGCGGACCCGGCAGGAGACTCCTCGCCCTTGTGCGCGCGCAGGGCACGCCACACCACGCCGAAATGCGGAGCGCGCGCACCACTCGTTTATTGGCTCGCCGCCGTAAGGAAAACCACGCCCACTTTCTCCTAGCGTCGACCGCTTGCCGGGCCATGGGTATTTCTCCTCCTCTTTTTCCCCCTGCTCTGAGCAGAACGTGGCGCTTTTCGTCGTAACAGAAGCGAAACCAGCTGACCAATCATTCGCGAGCGCGGGAGGCAACCCCGCCCACCTGTCTCTTAAGAATATAACGACATCGCGAGATTTGCAAAGAGTGCAAAGTGTTGCATTCGTGGTCTGGTTTTGTTTCTGGCTCTCACAAGCTGAGATTAAATGCGTGAACATTTTCCAAGGATTTTGTGACCGTGCATCTAGAATAGCTTGCAAGACACAATAGCTCAGCTGTTCATCTATGGCTTATTTAATAAACTAACTAGCGGAATTCATCCATTAAATGCATTGCAGTAGCTAAAAACTGAAGATTTCAAACACCCTTTCCCAGAAGTGCTCTAGCAGTGCACAATTCTAGCCCTGCTTCCGAACTTGGGTGCGATTTTATAGTTTGTAGAGCCTGTAGTTAAAGCACCAGGTTAGAAACTAGGAGACTTATGAGTTCTAGTCCTGCCTTTGGTATGAAAAATCTACTGGGAAACTGTCTCTCTCTCTCTCAGCCCAAGTGACCACACAGGTCTGTTGTAGGGAGAACAGAAGGTGGAAGGATATTTTTTATAAAAGTTATTTATAAAAATAAAAGGTGGGATGTAAATAAAATACCATTAAATAAAGAGCAGCATACTCATTGTCTCTCAGAATTCTCTTGCACTGTTTTCAAAAATAACCTATCCTGTCTTGCAGAAAGGGATTTGGATACTGTAACTTTTGTTTGTAACCTGGATATACAACTCCCTCATGCAATTCCATGTCTGAGATGAGTCAATGCAAATTGAAACTCAGACATGGCTGGGCATCAATGAATGTGGTGAGAGCTTGCCTTTCTGTTTACTACAAGGGGTAAGCAGATAAGCAGACAGCTGGTCAAGTTTGAGGATGATACCAGACTATTTGAGTATGATATGGGTGTAGGAGAAGACTGTGTTCGGTAATAATACACACAAAAAATGTCTTGTGGTTCTTAAACTAAATATGAGCCAGCAATGCAACTACCAAGATGTGAATGCAGTCCTAGGTTGCGCCAGGGGTGGGTTCCTGCCAGTTCTAACCTCTTCTATAGAAGAGGTTCCACAAATCTGCAATGCTATTTAGAACTGGTTGCAGCTCCCTCCTGCCACCCGTCCGCACATCATCAAGATGAAGAATGAGAGGAGGAATTCTGGGAGTTGAAGTCCACAAGTCTTAAAGCTGTCAAGTTTGAACACCCCTGGGTTTTTTTTTTCTAAAGGGTTAGTGGTGTAAGCTTAGGTCTTGTAACTTGGCAGCTTTAAGACGTGTGTGCTTCAAATGCTAGAGTTTCTGAGGCAACATTTTGGTTGCTAAGCAAGAGCGTTGTTAAGTGAGTTTCACCACATTTTACAAGTTGGCCATGCCCATCCAGTCACATGGCTGGCAAGCAACTCCCACCCAGTCACATGGCTGGCAAGCCACTCCTACCCAGTCACATGGCCAGCAAGCCACTCCCACAAAGCAGGCCACACCTACAGAAGAGGTTTGAAAAAAAATTTGAAACCCACCACTGGGCTGCACCCACAAATATTCAGGAGAAGTCATACCTTTCTATTATGTATCAGTCAAATGGCACGTACAATATTGGATCCAATTCAGAGCATTGTTTTAGGAAGTAATTGATGAATTAATCAGTGATGGTGAAACTTTTTGGCACCGAGCACCCAAACAGGAACGTGCAAGCATGTGCATGTGCCAGAAACCCAAAGACCAACTGGGTTGCGCACATGCCTGGGTTTTTTTGGCCATTTCTGTTGCTGTTTTCTGGCCATTTTGGGGCCAAAAACACCCTGAAAACAGCCTGGCAAATGGTCTGATTTTGGGGGTATTTTGGGGGCCGTTTTCAGGCCATTTTCTGGCGTTCCAGTGCCCGTGAAGACCAGCCAGTGATGGCACACATGCCCACAGAAAGGGCTCTGCGTACCACCTCTGGCACATGTGCCATAGGTTCGCCATCACGGAATTAGATCATTACCAGAGGAGAGGTAACCAAGATAATAAGGGGACTAGAAGATGGGGGGGGGGGGGAGAAACAGTCCGGAGTTGTTGAATATATTTAGCCTGGAGAAAAAAAATCATTGAGTCCTATCTATGATAACTATGAAAGATGAAAGGGCGGAGAAGCGGAGCCAACTTGTTCTGGTAGGACAAGAAACAAGGGTTTAAATAATAAAATAGATTTTGGTGAGTCATTCGAAAAAAAATCAACAATGGTACAGAGTGCCTTGGGGGTACAGGAAGTGTTGAAACAGAGGCTGGTGGCCATCTGTTAAGGATATTGTAGTAGACGATTCCTGCAGTGAGAGCAACATTGGGCTAGATATTTAGATTCCCTTGAGTCTTTGAAGATGCAACCCTTAAATTCTATAATTCAATAAAGGAAAATGGTTGGATATGTGGCTAATCCATGGCACAGGTAGTATTTTCTACTAACAGTAATGGAGCTATACAAATCACTTTTGACACATTTTGGAAGTGGAATCTGTCAGGCATTGTAGCAAAACCTCCAGAGAAATTCCCAGACACTGAACATGGTACGGTTACGGTAATACCAAGATTTGAACTCACCTAAAGACTTTTAGGTACATGACATAGCACAATTAGATAAAAAACTTTACTGCATTCCAGCATGAAGCCATATAAGCCAGTTGATTGCCCTCTGTTGAATTCTCTCCTATGCTCTGCCAGTATAAAATCAGGCATGCTATGAGGAAAGTAGTTTTGCTCCCTCTCGTCAAACACTAGAGCCAAGAATTGCCAAATACAGCTGACTAAACAGAGAACAAAAGAATGTATTTAACAGAATACATAATTATGCTGTGGAATTCATAGTTATTTGTGATGCACGGTGGTGACTAGTTTCAAAGGTAAATCCACGGAGGACAGGTCTCTTAATGGCTTAAGACTCTGTTATCTCTGGGTCAGAGTTAGCCTACCTTCAAATACAAACTGCTGGAAAGCAGTGGCAGACTCATCTGCAGAGACACATGCTTAATTACTTTGAGAAACCAAGTGCTGGTCTCTAGAAAAAGCTTTGATGGCTTCCAGAAAAGTTGCTGTTATGGTTTTCTTTCAAATGAAGTCTCACTTCACTTCAGTTCAAAGAAACAAAGAGATTCTAGTGCAGGGCTGTCAACCTCCCAGCCCGGTGTGATTTTCTAGTGGGTTTCACTGCAGTTTTGAGTATTCTTATTTTGTAGCTGTACCATTGTTCTTTATGTTTTAAGCAGGAGGTAGCTTGTCAACTAATAATGAGGAAACATGGACATAAAATTTGTGACTAGAACTTGAACAGAGCCTTATTTGTGCCCAGCAAAGATGATTCTGCTGATAATTTCCACAGCACCTGGTGAAAAATATCCACCAAGGGCTTCTCTGTATTGTTTTCCCTTGTCTTTATACTATACATTTTTAATGTGCACAAGTCTAAAAAAAGTGGGGGGGAAAAACAAGGGCTATTTTGTTTTGTTTGTAGAGCAACAGACTTTTTTCAATATTTACCTGAAAGTTTTCATTTAAAAAAAAAAAAAAATTCACTTTTCTCGTTTGTAATTAATGACTCTCATATAGAATGAAATTTTGAACTGCAATACTTTAAACATAGACTGAAATTAATAGCACAAATCATAAGTATTTCCCTTTTCTTT